TGTAAATAAATAAACATTCATTAAACATTAATTTCATTCATTAAACATAAAGTAAACAAACATTCAAAGTATAAATAATTATAACAGAAATTTTCATGATCTGCTTTACACAGTGTTTAAATTATTACCACTTACACTTTGATTATTTTTATGACTGAAAAATTTGATGACTATGAATTAAAGCTAAACTTTATCTTCTTTAAGATTGTTTTGTTTTTATAGTATACTTTTTAATGATCTTTATTAAATCTTAAACAGAATCATTTTTATTACTTTTTATTTCATATAGAGTAATATTTTATCTAACTTAAATGAGAGTAAATCATATTTCATTAAATAATGCAGTATTTGGTTATATTAATTTTATTATTATTGTAGCCATCAGCTATTGTTGATGAAGCAGCTTGTGCAGCCTGTGATTTTAATAAACCTGGTGCAAGATGTCAGAGAGTAATGCCATGGACATGGAGAGGAGAATATAGTAAGTAAAAATCAGGATGTCTTATTAATTAATAAAAGTATTTTTACAAGTATAAATATATGTACTGCATCTGTTCTATGTTCTCAGGATTTATAAAATTTGAGTTGGTATGTTAATTTTTAACATTTCATTTTATTACTAAATAAATTCTTTGTTTTTTTTATTGAAAAGCTTTCTGTTGTTTATACTATTCATATCATGTAGTGTATCAAAATAAAAACATTTACATTTTAACTAATTGATATTTATTACTTTTTATGAGGTATTTTATGATTCATTTGAAAGCGTTATTGTAATTCTTAGAAAATAATTTAAATGACTTTTGTAATGCAATTTTGAATTAACTTCTCATACAAGGTATGACAGTTTAATTTCCAGAATGGCTGTGTAGTGTTGCATATGACGTAATTGTATAAATATTCACATGATTTTGAACTTGTTTGAACTAACCTGTACATAAATTTCAAGATGATAGTCAGTTATTAGTTATCCATTGGGAAGGTAATAAATATCTGTGCACTTTGGTATAAAAATGAGTGACTGAAATTTAGAGCAGTGCATTAATATTACATTTCGTGTTGAAAATAGAAAAAGTGCTACTGAAACATTACAACTGTTGAAACTGGCATGTTGTAGTGAAATAATACCATGAAAAAGTCAAATGTGTTGAGTGGAATAAGAGATTCAGAAATAGACAAGATGTGACAGATGACCCTAGAAGTGAATAGCCAAAAACAAAGGAATAGTCCATTAAGAATTTATTGAATAGAGACAATCAATCAATCAACCAACAATGCTTTTTAGAAGTGCTGAAGAGATTACAAGATTTGATTCAAAGAAAAAGACCCAAACTGTGTCCTGACAAGTGGATCATTCATCATGACAGTGCATCAAGTCATTGTGTTCATGGTGAGACACTTTCTGGCCGAAAAAGTCATTACCCATTTGGATCTCTTGCCTATTCATCTGACTCAGCTTTCTATGACTTCTAGCTATTTCTAAAATTAAAAGCTACACTGAAGGAATGAATATTTTCTAATATAACTGATATCCAACAGAATGTGAGACTCAATAGAATTCTGAAAAATGAGTTTCAGGCCTGCTTGCAGAAATGGGAATGCCATTTAAGTCAGTGTATAGATGCACAAGGGGATTTACTTCGAAGACCATAGTACCCACTAGTATACAGTTCCACACACATTTTTTAAAGATACATTTCAGGAATTAAATTGCCACACCTTGTATTTACACAAAATAAATTAATAGATATTTTAAGAATCTTAACATTAATGCAAATGAAAGTAAAAAGATTTCATTCACTTTGTGATAATTGCAATAATGAAATAATTATTAAATACAATAAATTATAAAGAAGTTTATTTCAAATCTTAAAATATGTATTTTACATTAATACTGTAATATACTCATTGACTAAAAAGTAATACATCCAGATGGAATCGACAAATTACTACAAAATTTACCATACAAGCTATATCTCAGAAAGAAACTGAATAATTATAGTTGTTACCTGACTACACCAATTAATACTACCAAAGTTCTTTAAAATTGCTACCCTAGTATCCTATAAAAAGGTTGCAGAGGCTCACTGTGTTCAGGATCACCAGGTACTCCTATATGACTCAGTTGTGCAAAGACATTATATACAGCTGATGTTTGAGAGAGATGGCATCATCAAATTGAGGAAAGCAGGATGGTAGTTGTGAAATCTGAGGAGCACTCCCTATTACTTCTGACACCACCATGTTTTTATTGGGAAACACAAACCCTTTTTTTTTTTTTTTTGAACATGTGTGAACAGCCTGTATGAGGCTGAATGTTGGCAGGACAGGACAGCTTATTGACAGGAGTATATATTTCTTTGATTATACAAAATGAAATGAATTATAATTTACATAAAGATGCTCTTAACTATAAACTGATTATAAAATGATATACTACATACTTATATGCTCTTATCAAATTTCTACTTCAAAGCTATTGTAATGACTAAATTCTACTGCTCATGACAGTTTACATTGGTCATGCACGGATAAATACCTTCAATGTTGAATGTCTTCATTTCTCTTGAAATATGTCCTTAATGAGAGCAATTATTCCTAACTTTAAAGTTTGTGTTTATTCTTCTCTATTTCCGCCTGGGCTGTGATTATTGGTTTGAAGGACAACTTCCATAGCAGCTGGAATGGTTGAGGAGCTACGGGACTGGACTGGAACTAGTTGTGGAACCAGACTGAAGAATGACCATTGAACTGGACATTGTAAATAGGAGAGATTGTGTTTTTCCTTTTTTGGGCAAAACTAATTGATAAACTAGACAAGAGGACTCCTAGTCTCTCTTAAAGTGACTGAACTGGACAACTTTGAACTAGACCATCCTTTATGACCCCAACTTCCAAAATTGGTAATGTCGAATAAAGAGATTGCTAACATCCAATCTGAATTTTTCTTCACAACTTCCTGGGTTGAATGAAAGAGTGTTGTTAGAAAAGAAAATGTTATCATTTGTTAGTATCTGTTATTTCTTTTCTCTTTCCTAAAATTTTCTCTGTTTTAAAAATTTATTTTAAATATCATATTTACTCGCATATAAGACGATCTCTTATATAGGATGAGGTGTGACTTTAAAGATCAAAATAAAGAAAATTAGATTTATTAATACAATTCTAATTTTATTTCATTTAATCACAAATAAAATATCAAATGCATGTAAATGCACATATTGTCCTGCAAAAATTACTGGCGTTTTAAACTTTAAGGAAAAATCTTGTAAAATCCATGACATAATTTCTTCATGTAAGCTGGACAGTTAGGAATCTTTTATGCAAATTATGAACAGTCAAATCCACTCTCTGTCGATTACACTTATGAGTTTCTTTGAATTCTGATTTCCGAATAATCATCTGTTTTCACGTGGGAATGGATTAAAACTTATATTGGGCTTTCATATTATTTTGGAATTTCAATTCAAAAGCTTTGCTTTTCCTATTGCTATTCATCTTTACTTTTGACAATACACAAGAAGGAATGAAACAATCCAGATAAAATACTTCTGTGTTTAAACACCAGAGGGTGAGCATCCGGTAAAAAATGCAAATACATGGTTTACAAAAATTATTGCAAAAAATGCAAAGAATCCTTTGCACGCATGTATAGGACAACCTAGGTTTTTGAAGCAGTGAAAAATGAATAAAAACCTTGTTTTATATGTGAGTAAATATGGTAAATTATAAAAACTATGGCCTGGATCTCACAGTAGTTTTTCAAATTTCCTGCCATCTGGGCATTATCAGAAGGTGTTGGAGACAATGGATATGTGAGGTCACACTTACATGATGGCAGGTGACAGGCTCTGGAATCCCATACAAACCACTAGGAGAGATGATCATGACATAAGCATGAGTAGCTGCAATGGCATTTTTATCCACTATTCGGAGACAGTGGAACTCTTGCTACAAAACTCTATTTTTGTACCATTGGCAGCTGAGTAGCAGAAGTAAGTTCACATGCGTAGTAACCACTGTGTCCTCCCATTAGTGCTCAAACATTAGTGCCAACTTTGTTTGCAGTGGTATTGTGACATAGAAATGTGAACTGCTATGGCCTGACAGCATATTATCTTTAGCAATGAATCCTGGTTCCAATGCTTGTGTGCTGGTTTGGGGAGACATCTCACATGATGGTTGCCCTAATAGAGGTTTGAGGAATGTTGTCATTAAAAACATGAGGGTGCAGGATTTCTTGCACCCTCATGTTATTTTTAATGGAAGAGCTCCAAGCATTCCAGCAAGAAAATGTCTGGCTACACATTGCTAATGATTCCTGGAAATATCTCCTTCCTGCAAAACTTTTTTGGCCTGCCCAGTCTCCAGATTTGTCACCCATCAAGCATTTATGGAACCAGATGAGGCACCAGCTTTGGCCATCTATAAATGTAAGGGATCTACAGTGATAGTACAGTATCTGTGGGCAAATCTGCTGTAGAATGGATATGATACCTTTATGCTTTTACATCTAATCATATTGATGCATGTATCCAGACAAAAAAAAGGTTGTACAAAGAACTAAAGTTTTTGTTAAATTGTACCATTGTTTGACAGGAAATTGTCCCTTGTTATGATATTTTTATCACTTACTACCATCACCATTAGTTTGCAATAATAAAGTTTTATTCAAGTCCAATGCCTCTTTCTTGGCTTAACTTTTTGTCAGTGAGTGTATAATGATAACTAACCTTTATATCTTTTGACACCATATGAAATAATGAGATTAATAGTAACTAATCACATTATTTAAGGATATTATTAAAGGAGAAATCAAAGTTTTTAATTAAATGTCATTTACAATTAACACCTCTTTAAATAATGGTTACCTGCTATGTAAAAAATATTCTAAATAGTTCTTTTATTATATGTTTTGGACAGTTATAATGTTTTGAGCAATCAATACTTTTGTTCAATGTTTAAAAATTCGTAAAGTATGACTTCTTATTTTGTATTAGTGCCAGCTAATAGAAGTGAATTTCAAAGGATTCAGCAACAGCTTGAAACAGAAAAATTTCCTCCAGCTGCTCCCGGTTTAAAGCATCGAGCATTCCACGAACTCTCTCGAGAAGAACAGGCTGAAGTCGAAAAGAAAAGATTAGCTGGCAAGTTTTGGGAAAATATTTTGAAACATTTTGTAGATGTATAATAATTAAATCTCAAAAACTTGCTCGTAAATTTTTGAATTTTTAAGTATTTTCTTTTAATAATAATTTTTCTGATCTGTTCTTTTTATGTAGATTATTGTCGCAAAGCCTATAAGAAAATCCACATTACAAGAACCGAAATAAGGCATACAACTATCTGCCAGCGAGAAAATTCATTTTATGTGGATACAGTAAGAGCTTTCAGAGATCGTCGATACGAATACAAAGCATTATTGAAGGTAAATTTTAAATTTGTATACTTTAATGCTCAATTGTATAGAAATTTATGATATGGATTTAAGTATATAAGACGAACTCAAGATCAGTGACAAAAACATTTGTGTGTTGATTCTTTTTGTAATGTTGGGAGAATGTATTGTCTGTGCACTTCAAGAATAATTTGATTTGATAAACAGTATTAATGACTTTCATTGAAGTAGTTATTGATCTATAGTATATTGAAAAATTCTGTGAATAACTATGAAATATTAAGATGTAGTCACTAAGAAATTATTGGCCAGAAAATCTTCACTTGCTGGGTTTTTGGAAACTGTGACATTAAGCAAAATGATGCGTAATGAAACCACTTTTACCATAAGCTAAATATTATAAACAAAATATGAATTATTATATTGTTATTCTAATTAGATCATATGCAACCTCCAGCATTTATAACCCATAAATTCAACAACAGTAATTGCAAATTATTACAAATGTACTGTACTTGTTTCTTTCATCAATGACATTATGATGAAATGATGTTAGGTGAGGATTTACAGTATTTTGAAGAAATGCTATACAACTCAGAGTCAATGTTTTTGAGTTATTTCACATCAGATCACACTTGTTTCAGGAAGAAATTGTTAAAAATTGACAAATAACAACTTGTAAACTTGCAACATATCTTAGTGTGTCACAGACATGATAATTATGTTCTAAGTAAAAAAAAATCGAACTGGATTAAGTATAATTTTGTAGTAAGCTCTAAAGTTTCATTTTATTTTTAAATTACAGTTGACCCCCCTATAGCACTGTTGATAATTCCGTTTTATACAAATATGTGAGCCGTTCACAGCCCGGCACATGTATTTGTAAAATCTAAGTGACTCGTACAACATGGAATTCATATAACATGGAATTATCTAGAGTGTTATAGGGGTGGTCGACTGTACTTAGTCATTTTTATCATAGAATACTTTTTTACAGATGATAAAATAAAAATAAAGGATGAGTCAAAATTACGTGAACACTATTTGAGAGAAAACATTTACTGAAAGTTTGCATTATAAAAAGTCTCAACCTGACCACCAGCACGATTAATGCACTCAAACCAACGTTCAACAGTGCAATTTAGTGCCAGAACACTGGAGATTGGGGAGGCCATAACAATTGTCCGTCGCAACCGATTGGAATAGAAAACGAAACAAAATTAAGATGTTTCATTAATAACATTTAATTAAAAATTAAGATTGTTTGCATAATTTTGATTCACCCTGTATTTGTTTATTATTTTTAATCTTTTGTCATTTTGTTTTCTGGAAAAATTTTGATTATATTTCATTAAAATTTAATATTTTGCAAAATAATCTTAATTGTTACTTATCGTTGTAGCAATTGGAAGCAGCTTATTTTGCTTATAAAACTTTCAAATTGCAGTTAAATTGTTACGTCTTAGACTTTTTAGCAAGTTACATATGCAAAAAAGCAATTCCAGCAAAGGATTTTTGTCATTTTAATTTTTTCTCAGTTTATATTAGTTATACCTATTCTATCTTTAAACTATGACAATTATATTCAAAATAACAATAATGTAACTTTGAAAGTTTTTCATATTTTGCAGAATAATTTTGAAATTAAGGAATCTGTTTTAAAAGGCATAGAATTTATTTTTAGATACTTATAATATTTTATTTATTTGAAACATTTTCAAAAATTTTAGAACTGACTTATAGTAAATTTAAAAACTTATTAGCAATTAATATGAAGGTGTCATTTATTTGATTAAATGTTTTTTTATCTTCAGATCAATCAAACAGAACAAAAGAACATGTGTTCAGAGTTATTTTAAAAATGAAATCTCAAGTCTAAATATTAGACACGATGAATAAATACTTAGATATCTATATACTACTGAAAGTTTGAGTTAGTTTGGTTGTAATTAAATACAAAAAAAATGGTTGAAAATACTACCACATTTTTAAGAATTCTATATCCCAAATGAGAGTGGAAATAAAATAAAACAAATTTCGTTAAAATCGGGAATGGATCACTGAGTTATTATCATTTTTTTTCTGCCAATGATGTCACTTTTTAAGGTTGCCAATTATGTTCTTTTGAAATTTGTCATTCTACCAATGGAATGGTCATGTAGAACATTTTTTAATTTCAGTTTTGAAAACCCACATGGAAACATTTGTTTTAAATTTGTCACTCCACTGATTGAATGTTTTCATAGAACACTTTTTATTTTTAATTTATTCCATATAAATTAGATATGATGGAAAGTCCGTACTATCTGACAAAGGTCCCTAAATGGGGCTGAAAATGTTTCCATGATTAGCAAATCAAGTGCTAGAGTAGGTACTTAGATTCTTTGTGAGTTATAAATAGATAAATTTGAAATAATTTGAATTCACAGTTATATATATAAAATAAAATGGCCACTATCTGCCCTCTATATGCTTCTAAACCCTTCGACCATTATGCATCTGTATTTTACCAACCTTCTTTGGGGGGAAAAATATATTATTGTCTTGGATTTTAAATCTCTTTATCCTTTGGTGGAGCTTCCTCCAACCTTTTGCTCCCTTAGGGACATTTTACTTACTTTTGTGCGAGATCAAGCATCAACAAATCAAGCCTCAGTTACATTTGAACAGAAAAAACATTGTAGAATAAATATTTCAAGCGTTGATAACCAGATTTTTGATGTTTTGGATAAATAAAAATATAAAGATACAAATGTAAAACATATATGACCACAGGATTGGCACCTGTTTGATGCCACATCAGAACTGACATCACTGACTCAACGGACACAGAAATTGTGATGGCTGTTAGTTATTAGGTTCACATGCAAACGGTCATGCTTGTAGGTGGTCAGATCCAGGATGGAGAGACAACTGGAAGAAGTGCACTCAACTACAAATTTAACATTAATCAATACCCATTTATTTACATAAGCATCTCACGATTATGTACATTAGTTATAAGGATCTTAGGTAGGTGAAAACTATATGATATAAGCAATTACTGCAGGCCCTAACTGCAAGAGAGAGTTCACAATAGTCCACAAGTTGATAAATACCTTAGTTAAATCGAGGTTGATTCTTTTGGAAATTGGAGGATTGGTGAACTTTAGTTCCACAGGATTGTTTGTTAGGATCTTTGACAAGTCAAAAGAATGCAAGTCTCTTGATGTCTTGACAAGTAGATGGTGGGCAACCGCTTAAGTGATATCCAGAGATCAGATGAGAACACTAGTCCAGAGATGTCAAACTATCAACGACAATGAATGGCGATCATCATCAATCCCCTTCTTTTTTATTGGGGGGGGTCCTTCCAGTTTCTTTTCATGCCCTTATTTGGAAATATTATAAGTTAGGGCCAAAGGTTGAATTTTGATTGTAGGCTCCCTTTCCTAGGAAAGGGAAGTGACTCCATTGAGTCGTATCTTTTACAATTAATAATCATGGGAAAAATTATAACAAGTTTTAATAAATTTCAACAAAAATTTTGTTCAAAATTTTATCATTGAGTCTGGGCTCTCATACATATATAAAAATTATAATAAAAATATAAAAGCAAATAATAATAGCCAAGTAATGAGCATTATCCCCAATGCACATGCTATGAGTTTGTATAGTGTCACTTGATATATAGTTTAAAAAAAGACACTCTCCACCATGGGTTACAGTATTGGCTCTCACCTTATCCTGTGGGACCAAGATTAGAGTCCAAGGTTTATTTGAGGGAAATCTATAAAACAAGATATGCAGAGGCATTACACATCTACATAACTTCACTATTACCTATTATGGTATCGTCTATTCTTTATAGATTTTAAGTAGTAAGTTATCGAATGCGTCACAGGTGGCCTAGTATTGTATCAATATAAAAAGAAGACTCAAAATTTTGTTGTTAAATAAATGAAGATCCAGAAGAAAACAGCAAATTATAGGAAAAAATTTATATATCCAAAAGTATGAAACTCAAAGACATTGTACTACTGATATAATTAGACTCAATAAACTAAATGTTCTCATTAAAACCTTTTTCTACTGGTGCTATAACCATGTAGGTAGCAGTTTCATTGAGTGTCCAATGACATTATCAACCTATTCAGAGCCCTTCACTCAATCATCTCCTCTTGAATGTTGACTTGAAGCACATTATGAGCCATGTTTGGGGATCTAAATCATTGTCCTGTTTTCTTTTGTTTAGAATTGGCTTCTGCTGTCTTAATGGGAAGCTGTTTAGAATTTGGAAAAATAATGGTAGTGTCTTTTCAGTTTTGCACCGCTCATTTATTCAAGAGCTTCTCAGCAATAGCATTATACAGTTGATCTTTTATAAGATTCTCTTATGCCCCAACAATTTCACATTAAGATGCAAAAAGTGATAGCTATGTATCAGTAAAGTCTTCTTCATTTAAGTATACTTATTAACATCCAATTCAACTTTTTAAGTTTAATATCTCTAGTTATTACATTCTTTCATTAAACTATATCTTTTATTTAACAAACATAAATGAATGATAACAGATAATGAATCTCATTTTATTTAATTAAGGTAGCTAAGAAGAAAGTTGCCGAAGCAATACAGAAAAAGGACGCCGGAGAAATAAAAACTGCAAAAAATCTCGAAGTTTTATATGATTCGTTGCAGTTAGCACATAAATGTATTTTGAATTCATTTTATGGTTATGTTATGCGTAAAGGGTGAGCTAATAATAGAATTATTTAAAATAACCAGATATGTTAAAACATTTATTATATTCATTGTGCAAATGTACTTCTAGTGCACGCTGGTACAGTATGGAGATGGCTGGAATCGTGTGTCATACAGGTGCTGGAATTATTACTCAAGCTCGAGAAATTATTGAACAGATAGGGTAATATTATCTGTAATTTTATTAAAAATTTTTATTGAGTATATGGATAATATAGAAATGTACTTTATAATGGAAAAAAGGAGGCCATTAGAATTGGATACGGATGGTATTTGGTGTGTTTTACCTGCATCTTTTCCTGAAAACTATATTATTAAAACTTCAAATCCAAAGAAACCTAAGCTAACGATATCGTATCCTGGTGCAATGCTTAATCTTCTGGTTAAAGTGAGTAATTTTATATATTTACTGCACTTCATATAATTTATATATTATTCTCTGATTGAATTTTTATATAAAATAATATAAATAATAAATGTTTTATCTATGTTTATTAGAATTAAGACTAAATATACATTTTTTATTGTCTATTTGGTTGTTTCAATTAGCATATAATCATGTTACATATTAATAAGTAAGTAATTATTAGTAACTCTTTTTGAGTGATATTTATTTTATACAATATGAATATAAAATTCAAAAAGAACTTTTAGATTATCTCGTGTAATTTGCTTTAGTATATTGAGTTTACAAGAAGAAAGTTTTATATTCTTCATATTTTAATAAAAATAAGATGTAAATTCTTGTAAATTGCAATTTGGTTAAGCTTTTATCATCAAATAAGATGTTAAATCATGATTACATGTGTGTAAAGCAAGTGCCAATTAAACATTCATTTATGTGAAAAAATGAACTTAAGAAAATGAATTTTGATGATTTAAATAACATTTTATGATAGTTTAATGGATGTGGCTTCAGTTCACAGTGCCATTTTCTATGGATGTGAAAGTAAGACAGTTAGAGACTTCATAAATAAACTATTATTGATTTGAAAGACAACTTTAAATTGATCTTATAGAATCCATTATATAAAAGAAGTATGAGATGATTGCATTAGGCCCTGGATCAGGAGTTCAGCCTATTATGTAAAGAATACATTTAAGGCTTGAACATTAAGAAGATTTGTGATGATAATAAAATATTGATAACTTGATTGAGCTCATCCATCTCCTTCAGGATCTATCCTTGGCACCGCAATATATTACTGTCTTGGATTTTAAATCTCTTTACCCTTTGGTGGAGCTCCCTCCAACCTTTTGCTCCCTTAGGGACATTTTACTTTTGTGCAAGATCAAGCACCAACAAGTGCTTGAAATGGCCCATCTGATTTGTTCTATCTTTGCATTTGATGGAGCTGTTTACAAGCAAAAAAAGAGGAGTTCTCATGGGTAGCCCAGTGTCTGGAGACCTTTGCGAAATGGTCATTAGACAACTTGAGCACAAGATTCTTCCTCCATTCCTCCCAAACATCATGCTATATAGGAGGTATATAGACGATATTTTCATCATGTGGAAGACAGTACCTGACATCTCGGTTTTCATGCAAGCCATTAATGATAACCCATATGGCTGAACAGTAGACATTGAGCAGTCCAGCAGCACTGAAGTCCATTTTTTGGATGTAAACATTAAAGTGGAAGGATCCACCATCCTCACGTTGGTATACCACAAACTGAGTGCCGCCTCTACATACATACTGGTGGGTTTATGTGATCCATTCTTGTTCAAGGCCGCAGCCTTTAGCATATGTTAAGAAGATAGCAGTGAGATATGGGTACTCTATTCTAACACACCGTTTGATTGAGCGGCATCAACTCAATACACACCCACAACACATGCGAGGACCAGCACTGATCCGGAAGATCATACATGTGTCCCGGTCACACTTAATCCATATATTAAAGCAGTGTATGCTGAGATCACCAGCAAACATCAAATGAAAATAGTGCATAGGAGGTGTCCGACAATCTTCGACATCCTCAGAAATGGAAAGGACTCTCCGGAACATAACAGACTTCTCAATGTGTACTCCATCCCGCTCAAAGATGGCAGATGGGACAAGAGCCTTATATTTATCTGTTCCACCAAGTGCTTCTTAATTATCAGAATACATGAGCACCAAGTGGATCTTTGACAAGGGTGACACACCACTGCCCTGGCCACCTAAGCGTCTGATCTGGACATCAAGGCGGAATTTGACAAGGCCAACATTATTGTCACTACACTCCACCTAGAACATCTAAATGGCTAGAGCCATATCCATCTATAGGTCTAGCCACATGACCACCTGTGTCAACCAGAAAGATGAACTACCTGTAACATGGCAGGTCCTTATAGACAACGGCCTTTAAATACCACCATCCATGCACAAGTGCACATGCCCCATCGCAATGGGTTTCATTAAACAAGCATTCAATTTTGTTTTAAATCTTTATGTTATATTTTTTGAAGCATTCCATCGGTTTACCTGAGGAAGAACTATTTTAAAAAGTTCGAAAATGTTTGTGAAGAAAGGTTTTCTCACGATTTACACTGGTAGCAAGTTTGGATTTAGTGTTGATTAAGAAAATTAGTTAAATACTTGTATTTGAGTTTTATGTTTTTATACTATATATTTACATTAGTAATTTAATGTTCTTTAATTTGTGTTTAAATTAAAGAATTGTAGTAATTCTGAGGAACTGTTATTTTAAAAATCATCTTTAAAGAGATTTGAAGATGCGATTTAAAGAACTTAAATGTTAATTCATAAAGATTTGATTACTTAAATATCTGATGCAGATTGATTTAGCTGAAAGTTGTTTTATTCATAATTATTTCTAACATCAAATGAACAGCCTTCCTCCTGCCAAATTACTTTGCAATTATTTAGCCATAATAATCCCAATAAAGGAACCTGGCTGTTTGATATATATTATCTTAAATATTTATACTTGGGCAATAGGGCACTACAATAAAAAAATTGGAAAAGTTTTTTCAAAGTCTTTTTATTTGTGTAAAGTAACATTAACTTTTTTTACATAGAATTGTTAAAATCACATCATAATCAGTTAATAATTCTAAATTAACTTCTGTTGTTTTTAACATAGCATCGCACAATAATCCAAGTGCTGTGTAATACCATGCTGGCTTTAATTTATATGCATTAATGCACATTTCTCTGAAATTCTCAAATATATCAGCAAATATTAGAACATCCGTTTTCACATACAGATTAGAATATTCTCCCATATTTCTAATATTAAATTCTTCCCATATATTTATAGTAGAGATGCCATGAATATTCGACTACTATTCTGTATTCGGCCTATTCGGCTGCTTTTTTTAATATTCGGTATTCGGCCGAATAGTACGCAACATTCGGCCGAATACTGAATACCAAATCATGAAAAAAAAAACCGCACATATTACTCAAAAACGTATTTATTTTAATCATAAATTATTACATTTAATACTTAAAATCTATCAGTGGTAAGTTGTAATGAATGAAAACAATTTTTTCAGCATTTGTTGATAGCAAACGGTTGCACTTTTCCTCATAAAAACTATACCTGCTTCTGAAAATAGCCTCTCACTATATACACTACTGCCGGGAGACGATAGATAAATCTTAGCGAATTCTGTCAGGCTTGGATACTGTTTTGCGTTTGCTGACCACCACTTGTAAAGGTCTGCTGTCCAATCTAGGCGAACAGTTTTCATATAAAGTGATACAGTGATATTTTTTAGTAATAATTAGTAACGCAATTTGATGTAACAATGAACAAATAATGCATGTTGTGACATGATCTACTCGCAAATAAATGTGCCCGCAGTGTTGCCACCGCACCCACCGTAATGTATCAGGTTGTAACATATCACCCGCGAAATGTACACATATTTTGCCGAACATTCGGCCGCCGAATATTTGGCGCTTCGGCCAAGAGCATAGCCGAATGTTCGGTATTCGGTATTCAGCAAAATCACTATTCGTGGCATCACTAATTTATAGCATGACTGTATTCCTCATCTGATATATCAGTTTCGTTCAATTCATTATAAAATGCCTGTTTTTGTGGTAATTGCCTTTCGCTGCATTTTAATATGTTGTCCACATAATCATAGGGGTAAACATCCTTTCTGATAGCAAGATTTAATTTGTCTTCAAAAAAATATTTCATTGTATTTCTAAATTGTTCTTTTTGAAGATTTCCAGATAATTTGTCTAAGCTACTTTGCATAAATTTAAAAGAGTCAATGAGTCTTAATTTTATATTTCCAACACATTTACTGAATGAAATATATTTTTCTTCTTTATCTGGAATTGGATATGATAACAAAAAAATTGATTAAGTTTTTTACAAACAAATGTGCATTGTATCCCCTTAGGTTGTGTATAAATACAGGAATAAATGATGGATTCTGATAAATTAAATTACAGTTTTTGTGTGCAGGACCTCTATATTTTCCAGTTAAAGTTAAAAAGTATTTAAATCTAAAAAGATCATAGTCTAAACTTACTTATATATTGCTGCAAATGAAGCAAAACTCGAGAAAATGCGATAAATATTTGCACGAGTAAACAATGTATCCTCTCTCAACAACAAGAGAATTTTATTATTGCGTAGTGATTCAAATTAACATTAAAAACGGCTATTATTATTCTCCTTTAATACTAGAGATATCAGTAATGGATCAAACATTATCTTACTGAAAAGGCAAAAGAAAAGGGCACAGGATTTATTACACGTACCACTGTGCTATCAACATTCTTTGCATTAATGTGTTGTATGCAAAAATTGTGTTTGATACATGCTTGATAATGATAATAGAAGAGCAGGTTTTGTAGTGAGAGTTACACTAGTGTTTGGGTAGTAAAGAAAACGTCATTGCAGCAGTTTGCTCTTGTCAGATAGTCAGCTTTCCTGGTGATATGTCTGTGGCCTCCAGAGCCTGATTGCACTGTTTGTGTGCTCTGACGTCAGCTCAGAACTTTCATGAAACAGCGAACCTGCTTCCTTAGTCTAATGATAAAACCTTCTCAAAACTATGTTAGATAGGTGTAATGCCTTTGACTGTGCTGAACAGGCATGCTTGGCATTACTGACATTTAAACATCAAGGAAAAGAAAAATGGGTGGTGCAAATTATTTTAATGCCTGAATGAGTAGTGTATAGTTCTCCTTAAAATTGACTGACTAATGGTTTCACATATAAAAGTGAAGGTAGTGTAAACCTGTTAATAGTAGGTGACACCGAAGTAGAAAACCCATTAATAGTAGATGACATTGCGAAAAATAACGTGATGACAAATAATGCTTTTGCTTAGCCAGCAACTATGTGGTGTCCATAGTACTTTTTGTCTCAGCTATAAAGTAGACACTAATAGAAAAAAATATGTTCTTCAATACTTTTAAAATGCTTCATTTTTTCAGTTACATATATTTTAATGCCAATTTGAAGCCCACTAGTTAATCAAATTTGCTTTACAGTATTTATCTGACTGCTATAATACGATAGCCATACAACTATAATATCTACAGACTGAAAACAGGTTAAAGAAAACAAATTGCATATGAGAAATTCCTGAAATATACAATGCCCTGCTCTGTCTATGTCAGAATTTCTCATATTTAGTCCATTCTTCATATTTTGAGCCCTGGATTTCACCTTTATTAAAACACACAAAATTAATAATAAACTTTCGAGTGTTCTGGCTCTGTACATTATCCAAAGAACATTTGTATGACATGTCACTGAAAATCAGAAAAAAAGTTATTCTTTATCTAGCATGTGACTTAACAACCAATGAATCTAGCTGTGGTAAACCAATAATACATGTGAAATGACGATGAGTGAAGAGAATTTGTAACATTTTCTAATATATGGCAAAATGTGGTGTTGGATAATATAATAAAGAGAGAGAATTTCTGATTAAAATCATTCTTCGTTACAGCTGATGTGTTTATCTTCATAATGATCACATAAAATTTGGTGTAATAACCACTTAGGTTTAGTCCACTTTTGTGTCCTTTCTGGACTCGTGCAAAGGTATTACTTCAGATTCAATTATTACTTTCCCAGCTGTTATATATGACAGGAAAATTATGGCAATTGGTCAGAAAATGACCTGTCAAGATTTTTACACGTTTGGACTCAGGACATCTTGAAACGCCGAGAAATGCAAAAAAATGGAAAGGGGGTGTTTGTGTATGTATGGATGTTACTGTGTGTTTGTTGCAATTTTTTAGCTTTCTTTGAAGATTAAGCATACTATATTTCTTTTTTTTTTTATGAGTGCACCACTCTGGAGTGAGTATTACACTTGAACAATGTTTACATACCTAAAATGACAGGAGATAGGTAAGAAATTAACAATGCACATACAGTAACAACCATGGTTAGCTAACATTGGAATTTAGATAGACAGTTAGTTGTTTTTTCTTAAAAATGTCCTTAATAAAGATAGCAAAATAGGCACACAGTTCTTTGGACACTAGAATATGGGCTGGACAAGGCCAACCATACCCCAAGGACAGAACTTCCAGCATTAGCCTGAAGCATTTGATTTCATAGATATGACATTCGTATATTATGTGCTTTACTGTTTTAGCTTTACCTATTGCACAGGAGCAGAAAGTACTGCTGGCCAAATTACATGTTGCTAGATAGCAGTTGAAGATTCCATGTCCAGTTAGTATTTGAGAAAAGGAATACGAAAAGTTTTTAATTGGATTCCTGAGAAAGTCATAAATTGATGAGTAGAACATCTTGGTGACATTCCCTTTAGTTGAAGAGGTCCATGATTGGTTCCATTCAAAGATAAGATGGTCATAAATTATCTTTGTCAGGATATTTCTAGAATAAGGCTGTATAGTCGGAGGTAGGGTTTCATCTTTAGAAGCATCTTTTGCAACAGCATCTGCCATCTCATTGTCCATCACACCTACATGACCTGGGACATAGAAGAATTTAAAACATTTCGAGCTTAAGCTTATGGTTTCTTGAATATTCCTAATCAGACTACTTTGAAAATTAGTATTCATAAGAGAGGTCAGGGCAGCTTTAGAATCACTAAAAATTGAAATAAGTTTGAACTGGTCAGGGAGTGTCAAACTCCACCGAACAGCCTGATGGATTTCTGCTAATTCGGCTTGATAAATGGTGGTAGCCTGATTGTAACGCTGCCTAAGAATTTGCCGAGGGTTCTCATGTAGTTGGGTATATGCACATACACTTGAGCCAACACCAAGCTCGGACTTAGAACCGTCTGTGAAGATCTGTAAATGTCACTTGGAATAACAGGCCCAGTAGTAGGGATAGGATCAAGAGACACATCAGGCACGTGGAAGTTGGTTGGGTGCAGAGAGCCATTGTGAACAGACCACTCACGTGGGAGTAAATTGATACCAGTCCTCCAAAGGAGATGCTCATGGAAAGTGCTGATGCAACCTGTCCTCACATAGTTCTGGAGCACCTTATCCTGCAGGGCCAGGGGCCATGGAAGAACACCTGCCAGAACTGTCAGAGCATCTGTAGATACAGACCTACAGCAACAAACTTTTTTCAGCAGAAAAAGAGCATTGCACCCTGAGAAGTTTAGAAGCATAGGAGGTCTTGTAGGAAACATGAGCCCAACAACAAGCTGCATAAAACACTAGTGGCTGGATAGCTCCATTGATCAAAGTTGAGAAGCTGCAGAAGTCAAGCCCCAGGTACTGTACACCTTGCACATCTCATGAGCTGATTACCAAATTGTTTGACCCGAGCCAAAATGTCACTAAAGGCAGAGAGTATTTTTGTCATCTTATATATGTAATTGCATTTCTGGTTGTAGGTATTTGATGTATAAACAGTAGTAAAAAAGAAATGTTTTGAATCAATATGTATTTTGATATATGTCAGCAAAATGTAGATGTGGTTCTAACCATTAAAAAATTTAATTGTTGTATTACATTTTAAGCCTATATAAATGATATAATATGTACGTATTAATTTTCTTACATAGGATAATAATACTAATGATCAATATCATGAGCTTGTGGATTCTAAAAAGCTTTCTTATGTAATCAAAAATGAGAATTCCATATTTTTTGAAGTCGATGGTCCCTATCTTGCTATGGTATTACCTGCATCCAAAGAGGAAGGCAAAAAATTAAAAAAAAGGTAAAAATATATAAGAAGTTTAACCATTTTTTGATAAATATATCAAGGTTGAAACATTTAATTTCCACATAATTAAATTAATAAGAAGCAATGAAATAGTCAACCATTAATACATAAATTGGATATATGTCATGTATTAATGGTTGGTTTATTGTTTCATTACTTCTGTTCATGTAAGAAGGTTAATCATATACATCAACCAAAGCCGAATATTATCGGGCTAGAAATGGCTATAATACTATAGCCGTTTCTAGCCCAATAATATTTGGCTTTGGTTGATGTATAGCTTTAAACGTATCGGATGTAGTAAGGATGTTTAAGGTTAATCATTTATTATATAAATATACAAGGGTTGGAAAGAAAGTAGTAGCACCACCATTGTCACACTCCATACAAATGAATGAAGGTGCTGTTGATTTCTGGAATTTGTAAGGAAAGACATAGTTGTTTGACACATCTATTGATAGTTGCACTTTTGTAGGTCATTTAGATCGGCAAATATGAAGCTGTTACTCAATGGCATCAAATTTGACCACCCTAAAGTGACATGATTATTGTGTTGGATGAAATGTGGGTGAACAATTCAGAACTGAAATGCCAATCCAGTGAATGGTGCTAAGAACCCAGTAATGTGAAAGTGATGTTGATAGTGGTGTATGATGTGAAAGGTGTGATACCTATCATGCAGTTCCTCAAGGCCAGACTGTGAATGCTGCATACTGCCTTACATACATAGAATATCATTGATCCTTAGTATGGAGAAAACAGCAGCATTTCCAAATACCTGCTCCTATTTTCTTTCAGGACAATGCTTGCTGCTCCTGTGAAGGAGTTGTTAGGACAGTGGTAGTGAGAGGAACTCAAACATCCTCCATATTTACCTGATAAGAGCCCTTGTGACTTTGATCTCTTCCCCAAACTAAAAGAACAACTGAGAGAAAAACATTTTCACACAAGAGATGCAATTCTTTAAGCATAGGGCACTCATTTAGGGACATAAACAAACACCGAAGTTCTACTGGTGTGCAGCATCTTCCAAGGTGATAAATATGGCAGGGGATTATATTGAAAGAACTCTAATACTATTTGATTTCTATAATAAATAGTTTTTTTATGTATGGCTATGTTGCCACTATTGTCTTTCCAACCCATCTAGAATATAATTTTAAAATACTTAGAAATTTACTGGAAATAAATGTGAGATGATACTTTCTAGAGAGTAAATTGAAAATGTTAAATAATCTTGGCTTTCTGAATTGTATAAATGTTAAAAGATTTGGAAAATTTATTTTTTTAGATATGCTGTATTTAATTTTGATGGATCAATTGCTGAACTCAAAGGATTTGAAGTCAAGAGACGTGGAGAATTACAACTGATTAAGATATTTCAGTCATCTGTCTTTGAAGCATTTTTGAAAGGAAGTACTTTGGATGAATGTTATGCTGCTGTTGCCAAAATTGCAGATTATTGGCTTGATGTTCTCTATAGTCAGGTATAATAAACTTGAGGGAACACTTTGTTACTTGTTTTATTTGGGGGAAAAAATATAAAATGTACCATTTTTTTCATAAGAAATACAAGTACATCAAATTATAAATTAATAAATGAATGCTCATTTATTTATATATAGTAAAATCTCTATATTTTGAATTTGAAGGGACCAAAAAATAGTCAGTTTGAAGTTTTGGAGAGTTCTACATATAGAGGTATATGAAAAAATGGAAAAGTTTTATTCAGATTCAAAGTACAAAAAAATAGAATAAGGTACATAATTCTTTGATATATTTAAGTGAATGATATTTATTTGAATCATTATTACAGCAATACATGAGACTGTAATAATGATTTAAATAATATCATGAATTTAGATATGGACAATCACAAAATTACCTTGCTATGATACACTGAAGTTATTTTTGAATACATTATATAAATTATCTATAGGAAAATACCCAACGGAAATTTTAGGTGGTTTGCAAATAGATTTTTATTAATGTAAAAGACTTTACAAGTTCATAAAACACTGAAGACCAACATTCAAGATGCCTGCTACAAACTAGGAACTCTACTCTAAATAGATTTATGAATTATTAGAAAATCAGTATTCTGATTTAGTATTCTCTAATGAAAATTAAAAACAAAACACAAAAATAAACTTTAGCTACTGCAATGTTTCTTCTCTTTCTACTAGGAGTTAAAAATAGTTGCTAACATTTTCAGCAGGCAGAGAACATAATTTTTAAACCTCTTGATGATGCTATAGGAAAGCTAGATTTAGCAGATTTTCTGCTAAATTGTCAATTTGATCTCATTGACAGGCTTATCCAGCTGTATTAAAGTCAGTGAAGTAGACAACATGCCGAAAGAATTTGTGATACTTAATAGATTGGTTAATGGCTGCTGAATTCAACTAGTTTGACTTAAAGTCAACACGTTTGAGGAGGAGGATGTTAGATATGTGAAATTTTATTCAAGTTTAAGAGTAGAAGAATACATTATATTGTATAAGATGTTTGCCAAGACTGGAATTCTTCCAGGAAGTATTCAAGAAAGAGAAGAATTGAGATTAGAGGTTTTACTATAATAAGCTATATTTTTGACATAAAACAAACATTTAACTTTAGTCCAGTTCATTACAATTGTAAATAATTGTTAACATTTTTTAGGAAAATCCAGAGATAATTTTTCTACTAAAGAAAAATTATAAAGAAGTTTTAATATTTGATGAGATGTAAAACAAAGATTAAAGACAATTTACTGGTTCTATTGTTGTTCTCAGAAACAAATAATGGTTTATTAAGATTATTAAAACCAAATTTTTAAGTCTATTGAAATATTAAATTATAAATTTTTTTCTTTAGAGTATTATTTGTTGATCTTATATCTTTTTGTTGTGAAGTTCAATTTATGTTGACAGTCAAATAATTAACTAACATTGTCCTTTCTAATTTCAAATTTAAAAATTTAATTATTTTAAAGGCTCAAGATATGCCAGATGATGAATTATTTGAGCTGATATCTGAAAATCGTAGCATGTCTCGGAAATTAGAAGATTACGGACAGCAGAAGTCAACCTCCATCAGTACTGCCAAGAGACTTGCTGAGGTGATTTTTTTTGCATGTTTTTACATAAAAATTAGCTATTGTGAACTGGTTTCTAAAAGTGAGCTTTGTTTTCCTTAGNTTTTTTTTTTTTTTTTTATTTCCCTGATTGTTATAGAATATACCTATTATTTGTATATAACTTCAAATCATGTGAGTTTAAACTCAAATGATTTGAAATTATAATATTGCTGGTTGTAGATATACACAAAATGCTGAATTATACACAGGCCAGACTGATGAGGGCATGCCTAAAATGCATATCTGGTAGAGAAATAAAAAAACAATAAAAAACTTCTGAAACGATAACAGTCTTAGTCCTTGTATGATTAAGTTCCAAACAGCAAACTCGCAATTAGTGAATTTGCTATTGAATATTTATCATTGAAAACAACATTAATTCAGGAACATTGAGCTAATATAATAAATAAGTTCTTTTTGTTTAGATGAAGATGTCGATTTGTAAGGATAAAAAAGAATGTAGTAATGTAAAACATTTAATAGTAATGTAAAACATTTACTATTTACATAAGTACTTGTGTTAAAATACAGGATTGTATCCACTAGTGAGATGTTCTGATTGATTTGTGGTATAACATGGTTAAGATAAAAATTGTTTAATTCTTTTTTATCCAGTGTTTCATTATTATTGTTAATCCTTCTGCAAATAAGTGATTTTAGCTTCATAAATATGAAAAGTGGTTGCTTGCCCTTACTGAATTGTGAATGTGGAGCTCTGTTATTGTTTTTAGATCATGCAACTTGTGTTCAGAATAGTATAGTATTTTGTTCAAACATTTCTCTCTGAATATGGAGTTCTGTGTTGATTATCGATTTATTATTATTCCGTTGTGCATTGCAAGAACATCTTTTTATAAGTACTCAAATTAATAGTTGATAGTTGTTTTGAAGAATTGTTATATAGAATAGTTAAAATTGTTTATAAAAACAGTATTTTTCTATATTCTCATTATGTATCTATTTAACCTTAATTTTTGTAGTTTCTTGGTGATCAAATGGTCAAAGATGCTGGGCTAAGTTGTCGTTACGTTATTTCTAAAAAGCCAGAAGGAGCTCCAGTTACCGAGAGGTGAGTTCTTATTAACTTATTAAAGAAATTTTATGAAATTCAAAATATTATGTTTAATTTGTAAGTAAAACATACAGGATTATTCCAGATGTGTAACATCCAATCAATGTATGAAAATATTTTTATAATTTGAATAATAATTTATATTTCAGAGCTATACCGCTTGCCATATTTCAAGCCGAACCGAGCGTGAAGCGACATTTTCTTCGAAGATGGCTGAAGACGCCGTCTGTGATAGATTTTGACATACGCGATGTAAATTGCCATTTTTGTAATTATTTTAAAAATCTATTGTTATTCCTTGACAATATTAACTCCATAAACTTTAACCAACAAAATTTACCCTGCTTTATATTTATAGAAGTCACTTTTTATGTCTTTATTTCCAATTAAATGCTTTTCAAATTATCATTAGATTGGTTCATTTTTTGAATACTTTTTTGTAATAGATTCAAATATGAAATGTTTTCTATTGCAAAAGATTCAGGTGTGGATAGTTTCCTTTTTTCCCTTTGCTCCCGAATCCATTGTAGTAGAAAATGTCCCATGGTTGCAGTATTTGAAAAATGAACCAATCTGATGATGAGATGAAGACATTTCAAAAAATGTTTAATCAGAAATAAAGACATAAAAGGATTTCTATGAACATGTGATGAGGTAAATTTTGTTGGTTAATCTTTTTATATATTTATTTATTTTAGGAAATTAAGATGATTTTTAAGTTATATATACAGTACTTATTTTTAAATGTGTGATCATTCAATATAATCAAATTTTTCCCAGATTGAAGTAAAAATATAATATTTTACAAATTATAAACTTTACAATAACTGGTATCTAATGTATTTACAATCATAGATATTGTTATTAGTCATTTTAATATCATCAGAATTTCCATTCCCAAAACATAAATTGAATAACATTACAAAACTTTCATATATTGTGATCAGAAATTTGCTTATAACTATTGTTACCATTTTAAATATTCTAGATTTGCTTTTATCTTTATCACCTTAGCAACTGTAATATTTGCAATATTAATGATATAATTGCTATGGTTATCATATTATGAAACCTCCAAAATCAGGACATTCCAACCACTCCCAATATGCACACAACTTCAAACCACATTCTTGAAACTTTGCTGATTTTTATTCTGATTTTTTAATTATTATTTTATACATTATATTGTAACAAATAATTTTATTTTTACCTAAAGTGTAAGCTAGTTTAAACAAACAATTGTTTTGATGAATATAGATGGATAAACTGTAAGATTATCACATACAGTAAACATGTGACAAAAGCTATTGCTATATGCTAGGAGTCACCAAACTACAGCCCACAGGCCAAATCTAGCCTGCGAGGTCACACTGTGCCACAAACAAGCTGATAAAACAGGTAACAACAGTTATAAGTAGTGATGTAATGAATATTCAGTTACTATTCGGTATTTGGCCTATTTTTCGCTATTCGGCCAAATACCGAATATTTAATCACTATTCGACCTAATACCTAAAAACTGGAGTAAGAAATAACAAAACCACAGTAAATTAATCATTTTGATATTTAGATTTAATGTTATCGGGTTAGTGTTGTTTGTTTATATTTGTTTATAACTTATAACATGCACAAAATAAGAAAGAAAATAATATTAGTCACATGTATTTACAATTTATAATTACAAAGATCAGCACACATACACACCTATTCGTTCGAGAATCGTCGCACATCTGAGGGTCCTACCCTGCCTATCCTTCTTCTTAAGCGCTCGTCTTTGCTCTTCCCTTTCTCTTACCTCTATCGCTCTAGTCCATGTATGCATATGCATACATCATAATACGCCCCCACTATACTTTCGATTCGTCACTTTTCCGTCGTAGATTTCCCATTTTACAATTACGTGACTCATAGCCTGGTGATAACGGAGAAAAGAGACAGATAGGACGTCAGTATAAGTCACAGTTACGATTTCACATATTCGAGACAGCTTGGTAGCTCAAACAGCCCCAAGCTTTCGCCTGTGCATGCTAAGTGACTTTTATTACAAGCATTTAGTTTTCCGAAGTCTATGACAACAATTGTTTGGCATTGAAGCCTGCGAATTTCGTGCCAATAAGCTGCCTCGACTTGTTCGATTAAGTTATCAACTCAATTTCATATTTATTTTCATATTTTCACGGTCCTTCTCTGTTCTTTTTCTGTTATTTGCACGTGAAGGAATATATGTGAAAATAAATATGAAATTCAGTTGATAACATAATCGAACAAGTCAAGGCAGCTTATTGTTATCCACATTTGATATCATCATTTATGGCCCTGTACACACTAGGCGTTTTTCAACGCGCGTTAAACGCTCGTCGAACGCCGAGCTAACGCGCGTTAGCTCGGCGTTCGACGAGCGTTTAACGCGCGTTGAAAAACGCCTAGTGTGTACAGGGCCATAAATGATGATATCAAATGTGGATAACAATAAGCTGCCTTGACTTGTTCGATTATGTTATCAACTGAATTTCATATTTATTTTCACATATATTCCTTCACGTGCAAATAACAGAAAAAGAACAGAGAAGGACTGTGAAAATATGAAAATAAATATGAAATTGAGTTGATAACTTAATCGAACAAGTCGAGGCAGCTTATTGGCACGAAATTCGCAGGCGTCAATGCCNAGTATCGAAATGATCGTTCTCCATTTCAGCACATATATCTCAAAGCGCTCGGCTGACGCCCGCAAAACGCGCGATCGCATGTACGGTAACATGGCAGCACATATATCTCAAAGCGCCCGTAAAGCGCTCGCAAAACGCGCGTTTTAACAAAAATCTATAAGCGCTCGCAAAACGCGCGTTTAACGCGCGCTTGGCTTTTGAGTGTGTACGGCTACATAGAACTCTTGGTTCTTTTAAACGCGCGTTAAACGCGCGTTTAAAAACGCCTAGTGTGTACAGGGTCTATCACATACTGTCATGACGCTCTTGTCTGTCCGCTACAACTGTCAAGAATTAACGTGATCGGTGAAACATAGTGACGGCAAACCAATACAGAGCAGGGTCCTTGCCATAATGAGGTTTGCGTGCCAATTTTCGTACGTACGTTAATTGAGCCGAATAGTTTGGCCGAATATTCGGCTATTCGGCCACGCTCCTGGCCGAATATTCAATATTCAGCCTGAGGCCGAATATACTATTCGTTGCAACACTAGTTATAAGCCATGTTTCGATAAAAATCTTAGTATAACAGTCAAAATCAATTTACCTTAAGTCATCCAGTTATATAAGGTGTTTACACTTAGTATGTTAAATGTTCATTTAAATTTTGTACTTAATACTGTAAATAATATTACAGTATATTTCAAATATACTGTAGTATTATTCAAATAATTATTAGTACTTGTTAATCCCAATATGATGACAATAAGTGGCATCTACTGTATTGATATGATAATGAAATAAATCACTTTGTCAAATGGTCAAATTGAAATATTTTTATATAAAATACAATTTTAGATACTAGACTGGGAATATTACATTGAACGTTTGGGAAATGCTATTCAGAAAATAATAACTATTCCTGCAGCTCTGCAGCAGGTAGGGTTTTTGTTTTATTTTTGTTACTTATTATTATAAACTTTGCTGTAAAAAATTAAATGTAAATGTTCTAAATTATCATTTTTTATAACAAAACAATTAGGTGTCAAATCCAGTTCCTCGCATCGCTCATCCAGTTTGGTTGCACAAACGTCTTTTGGAGAAAAATGATAATTTAAAACAAAAAAAGATAAGCGAGTTATTCAAGGTTTCAGAACCATGTCCTGTAGAGGTAAGTGAGAATCTATTTGTTTTTTTTTTTTAAATACTAAAACTTTATAAAAATGGCAAACTTAATCTTTACTTAAATCTGTATTTAAATACTGTAAAATATTGTAATTTTATTATGGAACTATAAATGTTGTTATATTGTAAGAATTAAAGATTGACAAAAACTTTGGTGAAAATAGAATAACCATTTAGGTTAAGAATATTATGCATCATCAATTCCACTTAGATATCAACTTAATAATAAAAGACACTTTCCACATTCTTCCAGCATCACTCCTTTATAAAACCAAATGCTAAGAAAGTATTTGTCAATTATTATTCTATAAAAATGGTATGTGGATGATATAATTATATACAGAACAGAGGCAAATATTAGGGAGGTGATTGATACATTTAAATTAATAATAAACAATATGGTTTAACTTTGAAGCTGAATCAAGAAATCTATACAGCTGTTCACTTCCTACACTTCAACATTATGTTTAGGAACAAACACATAGTTACGTAAATATATCTCAAACCAAATCTTACCTTGTTTAAATCCATCCACATCTAGTGATCCACATAATTATTATAAAATAGGTGGTTTTAGATTGCTAATTAAAAGGGCATTTATGCACTGCTCAAATATTAATGACACATTAAACAAAATAGAACTTGTAAAGAAAATAGCAAGGGAGCATAGATACAGTAACAAACTGACAAGTAAAGTAGAAAATTATTAAGAAAAGAATTTGATAACCGAAAGATAATAACATTGGAGACCTATGAAATCTTCGTTTCTTTAAGGGCTGGAGAATGTGTGAACTATAAGGATAGAAATATATTATCAATAGCTTGTCAGTCATTAATTGATCTGTGGCAACAATTCAGTAACATACAATCACCCTCTTAAACATAGAATGAAACTTTTAAATTAAAAAATGTAATCTACTTCAATCAATTTTATTTTTGCTATTGTAAACATTGATGTACTTATTTATTTTTATTTTACTATATTTATGTACTGTACGTAAGTTATATTTATTTCGATACATTCTATGCTTCAGTTTGAAAATATGTAAACTTGTTTGATTTTTTTGAATTTCATGTTTTAGATGCTAAACACTCTTGGAATACTATTACGTCCATTGGTTTAAACATTGGATTTGTATTCATTACAACTTGATGCAGGCTCCAAAAATGGCCATAGACATTTGTTCTAATAAAGGAGTGGTGCTGAAAGATTGTGGAAGGTGTTTTTTATTATTGATAGTTTCAGTTTTTTATGAGTGTATCATCAAATTAAAACATCTGATGTTATGTTTCATAATTAATTTATAAATTTAAGACGAATCAATTAACTTTAATGATTACTGTCACAAAAAACGTTAAACTTTTTGAAAAGTGAACTTAATTTCAGTAATTCTTTTCTGCAATATCTTTGACCATTTTATTAAGGTGTAACAGGTATTGTACTTAAAATTTGCATTAATTAAAATATTTAATAACAAATAATGGTTTATTAAGATTATTAAAACCAAAAATAAAATAAATTTACAGAAATCTCAAAATGTAAGAAAAGAAGTAAATGATATAGAAGATCTTTGTCAAGCTTCTACTTCAAAAAACACCATTGTTGCAACTGCAAAGCGGAAAAGACACATTTCGGATCAAAATTCTAGCAAGGAACAACAGTCTGATCTGACAAGATCTTGGAGAGAAGCTCTTGGTCCACCACCTCCATTTGGAAAAATTAGAGTAAGTATAAAATACTTCTACTTCCAAATATTATAAAGTTTCAATATTGCTAATTTAATTATTGAATTTCTGATTTATATTTTTTATATTATGATACTTTCTAGTGAAGAATATGTATTATTTTTTTTAATGTATTAACACTGTACCAAAGAAACCATGTTTATTTCCTTGTTGATAGTTAGTGTTGTCTTGGACAGATCTTGTCCATAATAAGTTTTGTAATGACATTGCATTGTTATAATAGACTTTGTTTTGAAAAACCTGAAAGATTGGATGAATCCATCAGATTATGAAATCAGGGAATTAATGTAGAGGCTTGAAAGATGACATTTCTCTATCATTACACCATTATAATTCTTTATTGTTTTAAATGTATTATGATTTCTGTCTTATAATTCTCTATTTCTAAGTTTCAAATTTATGTTTGGAACATATTCAGAGTTCAGTTATTCTGACTTATAATAACAATGTTTCTGTATTTACATGTCTTCAGAAGCATTTTTCTGTAGACAGAAATATTTCACTGAAAGATTCATAAAATGTGTTCAGAGCAGTGTAATGTGTTATCCGTCAGCATAGGTTGATACTGATTGAATTGAATTGAAGTATGTCTAATGTTCTCTTTGTGTACCTCCCATGATCAGAACTTCTAAAATGTGTTTTCTATCAGTCCTTAGAATATCTTTTAAATTCAGGATATCTCTCAGCTGAAATATGTTTGTTAAAATTGTGAAATGAACATCTCTATTGGTCATTTTTACTTTGAATTCTTCTATCTGCATATCTAATAAAAATTTTTAATGAAATATTAAAAATATAAAGGTTTAAAATATTTGTAAACTAATGAGTACCTTTTGCTTCTTGCTTCATTCCAGTGCATAATTTACTAGTTTAAACAAATTTTTTTGGCTGCTTATGTGGCCTTCAGGTATAAATAGACTACTTAGAAAACTTTATTTAGATTTGTAAACTTTCACAAGCTTGTGTGATAAACCTTCAAAAATCAACAAATTCATCAGGTAAATGGAATTTACTAAGTACTTATATGTTATGTGTCATTGATATATATTATGCTCAGTCCTTGAATTACAGCCTGATACATTCTGGAAAAGTTAGCTGTAAAGTAAAATGCCATATAATGAATCATCTATTTGCATAAAAACCATACATATTCCACAAGATTCATTCCAATTTAACAGAAAAATGTTTAAAATCAAATTTTTAGTAGAAAATGAGTTTTTTTTTGTTATTTTATTTAAAAGTAATGTAATAATGAATGGACAGAGCAAAATACAGTAATTAAAAAAATATAGTAAAATTTTTTAAGCTAAAACACAAGCAGAAACAAACTCCTCTATGCATGATGCAGTCCAAAGTTTATAGTATTGCTGGATGTTTTTTAAACTATGCTGCGATATCACATATGATAACATATACATTGAAAAGAAATGCGCAAATCAAGTAGCTGTTTTCAAATAAATCACTTACTTAATGCCATGTATTTGTCTCCATGTGGGAATTTCAAATCCAAGAAGTCAAAACTAAAACTAACTTTATTAACATCTCGTAACAATGTTGTCAGTTGATTTCAACATTAATAATGAATAAAAATCTGTCTATTCTTTTTTGTTTTGTAGTGAAATAATAAAGAATAAAATAAAATATAGTATAAACAATTACTTTGTTATATTTAATGTATCAGTAAATGTCACATTATTACTGTTTTTGATAGTTGCAGGTGTGGTAGATGCACGTTGTTCCTGTATCAGTAAATACCTGCGCTGTATTATTATTATTTTTTTACCATATATCAAAACTAAGCTATAAAAGCAGAAGGCTGTTATAGCAAAAGCTGTATAAAGAGAATCAAAGTATATTTTGTTGAAAATGTGTCTAATTTTCTCAAATATTTGCTCAAAATACTGCATATTGAGAATAATATTTATATTGTAAAAAGTTGCTGATCAAATCAATTGTATATTTTAGAGTGAACTACAAGAATGGATAAAATACCAGAAAAAGAAATGGGCATTTCAATTAAAACAACGACAAACAAAACATAAACGAATAAGATTAGATACATCACGTGGCACTAATGGCACTGTGATTCGGAGTGGACCCAGTACCAGTATTGGAGGGTTTCTAAGAAAATCACAAAGGTCAATTTTGGAAACACCATGGCAAATCATACAGGTATGTAGATATTTAAAAAATCATAAAATATAAGAATTCTTATATCTCAAAGAAATGTTTTTATGAGAATTTAAATTTTTTTTTTTTTTTTTTCACAAATTAAAGACAAAGTCGCTCTAAAATTATTTTTTTAGACGATTACCATTTTTACAGTGTTCTAGAACAAATAATAGACAGCTGGACCTTCCTTTTTAGGCTACACAACTGCCTACATTTAAAAAAGTTCCTTAAAAACACAAAAAACCAATAAAGATTAAAAATTCTTCTTTAAAATTGGAATAGTAAATCTTGCGACGTCTTGTTAGTTCATCCTTATCTACGTGGGTTTCTGGCTCCTTTTATCTACTGTGGATTAGCGCTGACAAATGTAGATTACGCCAAGATATCCCTCTGGTGACGAATATTAACGATATATTTGTATTTCCGTCGGATGAATAAATTATTTTTTTCACAAATTAAAGACAAAGTCGCTCTAAAATTATTT